CCACACCCTGTGTTCCCAATTTGTTCATGGAATCTAAAATGGCTGAAATACACTTAAGAAATTGCTCAACATCCTTAGCCATCAAGAAAATTCAAATAAAAACAACTCTTACACCTGTCAGAATGGCTAAGTTTATGAATGGGAAGTTTATGATGGAGAGATGTGGACAAAGGGGAAACTCCTCTATTTTTGGTGGGAGTACAAACTCATATACCACTTTGGAAATCAGTATGGTGGTTTCTCAGGAAAATGGGAATCAGTCTAACCACAAGATCCAGCAATTCCACTCTTAGGCATATACCCACAAGATGCCCATTCACACAAGGATATTTGCTCAGCTATGTTCATAGCACCATTATTTGTAATAGCCAGAACCTGGAAGCAACTTATATGCTCCTCAGCTGAATGGATGGAGAAAGTGTGATACATTTACACAATGGAGTACTCCTCAGTAGAACGAACACCAAAACAAAACAATGAAATCTTGAAATTTACAGGCAAATGGATGCAACAAGAAGAAATTATCCTGAGTGAAGTAGCCCAGTCATAAAAAAGACACACATAGTATGTACTCACTCATATATGGTTTTGAGACATAGAGCAAAGGATCACAAGCCTACAATCCACACCACCAAAGAAACTAGAATACAAGGGTGATGCTAAGAGAGACATACATGGTCCCTGAGAGAAGGGGAAAGGGACAAGAGCTCCATAGGATATATTAGTGGCTATTGACAAAAAGGGAAATTCACAAGTGAGTTTAATTTCTTGACTGTTTGATCTCTATTCTTCTTTGAATTGCTGCCAGCTTATTCATTCATTATTTCTCACCCAGACTATTTTGAACGCTTCCATGTGGACCTCTTGACTTTCTTTCTTGACCTAAGTTTTGAATCTAGCTTCCAGTTTTGCGAACATCTTTCTCTTTTAATCTCTCTGGTTTCTCAAAGATGTCTTATTTCTGCAGATTCGTTACAAAGGAAACTAAGATATTTCCTAACTTGCATAAGTTTATTATCACATATAGATGAGAGACTCATTCATGTATTAGTAATACTCAAAGAAAACAGACTATATGTTGTCAGTATGGAGAATGAATTATTCTTGGCAGGATATAGGAATATCAAAGAAGGTATTTTAGAATTGAAAGTTTAGATTGCGTTTTGAAATAAGGGTAAGATAACTTTCCTAATACTTACATTCTGTTGGATATAGATGGTCATGTTACCGCCTAGCTTTAAAAAAATAAACAAAATTTCACACTCAAGAGCAAGTCTAAATTCAGAAGCATACAAGTTCTTATAGAAACTGGTCTCTGAATCCCATTCTAGCATCATCTTTTGGTAATATTCTTTGTTGTTTTGTATTATTCCAACAATACCCTCATTCCTGTATTTTATTCTTTCATTCTATATCCACTCTTAATAACTCCTATGTTTCTGTAGTAGGCTATTTCAACTTGCATTCCTTTTTAAGTCTTCATATTTGACAAACTAGGTAGAATTATCTGCCTTTTTGTTCCTTTTGTTTTACATATTTTTTCCCTAACACTTTAGTCTGTATGTATATATTTATTGTGGAATCATTTGACTATTATTTAACTTCCCAAGTGAAGTATAAGCTATAAAATCACAAGGCTCAGGGCTGAAGTGATGGATTGACAATTAAGAACATTTGTTGCTCCTACAGGGGACCCAAGTTTGCTTTGCAATACCCACAGAGTGATGCACAGTCTTTTATAATTTCTGTTTCAGGAGATCTGAAGTCCTTTACTGGATACCACAGACACCAGAAACAGATTAGGTGAATATATATACATGCAGGCAGACACTCATGCACATAAAAATAAATCTAAAATAATTACAACCTGTGTCTACCCTTTGTTGTCATTACATGTGTCTATCCATGCATCATGATGAAATATACTAGTTCCTCTCCAAATAACTTTAATCAAATCAAATCGAAGAGTATTCTTTTTATCATGCATGTACTTTTATTGATTACAAGTCTATACCCATGTTTATTTTCTTTACTACCTTATAAATGAAAATATTGATGTAATTACATGTATCATGGACGATATTTTTGGATTTTCATATTTTGTCTATAACCATGCAAAGTTAAACCCAAAATTTTAAAATATTTTCCCAATGCAAATGAGCCAAATCAGATTTCAAATTAAACTGTCATAAAACAATAAATTTATTTTAAAATGGTAGCATCTGTTAATTAATAATTCTTTTGATGAAACTCCCCAATACCCCCTTTCTCATAGGCAAGTAGCACAATGATGTAGCTTCTGAGATACTTGTATGTAACATATTCTGTTTGACTTTGGTCTCTTGTTAGCTTTCATTTTTTCAATTTCTAGACTTATTTAAGTAATTATATGTACTATGTAGAGCACTTTTTAGAAGTACAAAAGATAATGCCTACCATTACTTTGAGGGGGATGAATTTGGTGATGAAGGGTATTTTATAAATGCTTAGTTATTCCAATCAATATCCATTTTGTTATTGGTTTGTCTGCTCACATGTGGCCATATGGTCTGTTTCTTGTGGCTTAAATACACCTTCTATTTTAAAATTCAAAGGTCACTGACTCTGTAACTTCTGCCGTCATCACATTATCAGGGTCAATTTGCCTTCTTGGATTTGTGATTTTCTAAGTAATGATAAAAAATTAATTATGTTTCAATTTCTATTGCTTTAAACCACTTTTACCTATGAAAGAATACTGTTGCTTTGTTTCTGTTCATAGTTTCAATTAACTGATGATGGAATAAAATGCATGCTTGTACTGTGGAAGGGGCCATATAATTATTCAACCACCCCTGTTTGTGGCTGCTTATTAGTATGCTCCCCATTGTTTGTCTGGCTTCTACCTGAAATGCTAATTTTAGAGTCCCATTTTCATTATCGAAACCTGTACAAAAATTTTTAACAGTGAATAGGAGGCATCTTGAATCTGTCATGTTTCCCTCTTTCTTAATAAGTTCATAACAAAATTTTAAATTCATAGTTATTTTCAAACAATATATTTCTTTTTAAATATCAATGAATCTCTCATTTCATTAGTTATCACTAGTTTCAGTTAAGATTCAGACCACATAAACCACAGGAGAAGATTTAAGCAGTTTTCTGAATAAATGTTGCATTTGTAAATATTTAGCACTAACATTTTTGCAGTTTTCAAGCAAAACTCACAGTTTGCGTAAAATATACAGGTACTATAATTGAGGTCAAAGAGGTCATCTTTTTGTTTGAATCATGTAGATAATTGCTTCAATTCTCCACTTCACTTTGTGTGAAGTAAGTAATTGAGTGAAATTTCAACTGAACATTTTACTGAAAAAAAGTCAAAAATGAATGTTGATTATCTTTAAGCCCAAACAAGTAGCTAATTGCCTGAAATTACCAGTTGCTTGGTCATGCAACCTTGGTACATTTAGACATATCTATGATGAAATTGGAGAAAGAAAAATAAACATCACTTCAGCATGCCTACCACAGCTTTCAATCATGTGCACTCAGTGAGTTAATAGCACACTAAAAATGGCCACTTTTCTCCAATTTCTGTTTTTTTCTCTTAAAATAAATGCTTAAAGAATTTATGCCTATATAGAGTAAGAAATTAGAACAGATTAACAGCCTAATTTACTTCAACCAATTGTCATAAACATCTGCTTTGCATGCAGAGAAAGTTTATGTAGGTAGAAATCTGAGTAAGAACGAAAACAATCTGACAAAACAGAAAGGTGATGATTAACTAGAAATATTTTCACATATTGTTATTTTGCTAGAACACAGCCTTGGAAGTTAGGATAAACAAATGAAAAATGTGTAGGCACACTGGAAACCAGGGGGTGGGAGGAGGTTGGTGTTAAATATTTACAAATGTAAAAGAGGTCTGGGAAATCTTAAAGTCTATGAAGCTGTTTAAAAACACCCAAGGGCAAATGCTATCAAAATTATAATGAGAAACAAAATGGATGTTTAGGAATCCAATTTTTTCCCCTTGAACTGGTGAATGAACTTTATTTCACAAAAGGCTTTCTAAAAATCTATTAATAGACTGTCCAATTTGCTATATGACCAATCTGTACTAAAATCATTTCATAAGGTAGCTTTTTGCTTTATTCTGACAAACCTCAAAGGGGAAATTTTTCATATATATTTCAAATAATGCTAACTGTTTAGTATTTTGAAGTGAGAACTATGCTATGGCAAAACAAAATTCTAACTGTATTAGTCATCTCAGGGCTGATTTGTATGGAAATGTTTATGGGGTGTACAATCTATTCCTTCTACCCTTACATAGTATCTCTCCAACTATTTGAAGATACATAATTAAGCTAACCCTTCTGGTCTTTTAGTTTTCTTTTAGAAGGACATTTTTTTTAAAAAAGTGTTCTAAGAATTTGAAAGGAATTATTTTGTCTTGCTTTTCCTGCACCTTGCCCAAATACACCATGTCTTACATCTATAGATCATAGATGTTGAAATTGAACACATTACTTCCTATTAAAGTCACAATAAAAACTTAAACAGAGAGAAGTATGTCGAGGTTACATCCCGGCCCCTCCATTAACTGTTTGGAACATAGGACACTATGACATGTTTGACCTATAGTTCTCATGGGGTCTATACAATTATATGCTATATTTATACATACCCAGTTCAGGACTATCTTGTACTCGTTTCTGTAATCTGGTATTCCTCTGGATTTGAGTTTTCCTTTAATAGACTTTGTCATGTTTATTTTTACCCACATCAGCTTGTCAAAGTTGTTTGGAATCCCAATCTTAACCCATTTCCCCAACCCCCAACTCTGAAAATGCAGAACTGACTGAACGTGTATAAATTCTTTAGAAAAATTCACAAACATCATACTGCTCTTTGCACACAGTAATGACACTCAGAAATTCTACATTCTCCACTCTTCTGCCATTCATTCGTACCCTAACAAAACTCAATACTATATTTCTAGATATTCTTACCTTATTCTTGGAACGCTGATGACATTTAAACAATGGAAGGCAACAACACAGGCTTAGGTTAGAGTTGACCCTATGACCAGATGTTCGACGTCGTGTCCTTCTAGAATTCATCCTGCCTCAAAGTTGGTCTGACTGTAAATGTGCAGTACAATCTGGAAAAAAAATATGACTTGGGGTAAAACAGTGAAATATCTGGGAAACATAACAAGCAGTTCGATACATGAGGAAGTAAAGGGCACAGGGTGGAAAAAGTTCTCAAAATTTGAAATCTCGCCTTAACCTGTGCTCTTTGGGGATTCTGTGGTATATTTTCTAAAAATAAAGCAACTCATAAGTTACTTCTTTTTGGGAAAAAAAAGGACAAAATGAAGAAGAAACAGTAAATGGGAGTCTAACCCTTAAAAAACCTAGCATTCACTTGTCTGTCAGACTCAGAAAAAAAGAAAATAGCCCATATTATTCCCTCTTCCTCTATTTTCTCCTGGGACATCCATTTACCCTTTCTTATTTAAATTCCTGTCATTCCCATCTCAGAACTTTCTTTATCCCTGGGCAGTTCCTGTCATAAATATACCCTTCCATATCAGCTCAGACCTTCTTGGCCACCAGCCAGTTGGCTGCTTTCCCTTTACCAATAACTAGATTTTCCCTAATTATATAGCATTTAAATGCTACAAATAGCAATATGAGTGATCAATTTGAATGATGAACACAACTGACAACATCTAGTATATCATTAGCATTAAATGTATATTGTCTTAATAAGCCAGTCTGTTATTTTGTCAACATACAAAAGTATTAAAGACATGGATAGATTGAAATATTACCCAATTTAAACCATACTTGGAATATGACATCATGATGCATGCCTTAAGTCTAACACTCAGAAGGCTGAAGCAGGAGGATCACAAGTTTGAGTTCAACCTAGTCTACATAATAAAATGTCTCAAAGAATTTAAGGGCTAGGGATATATATTAAAGGGAGACTATTTGTCTAGGTTGCACAAGGTCCTGTATTTGATCCTCAGGACCACAAAAAAGAAAAAAAAAGAAAAACAAAAGATATTTGATACTTTAGTTCTGCAGTAGAGATGTAGGTAAATTAAATGGCAATTTAGAACAATAGGACAGTGCATATGGTACAGACGATAAGCAGAGTTTGAGAATAAAATGTTTTACTTCATCTTCCACTGTGTTTATTTCTTTTTTCTTTGCTTTTTAATCTTTAGATAGGGTTTCACCATGTAGTTCAAGCTGGCCTCAAAGTCTCAGCAAGCATCCTGTAAGCCTGTGAAATGATGACTACCACACCCAAATTAAGTAACACCAAATTTATATTTTTATTTATAATTTATACTCCGATGTTACATTTTTTAAAAAAAGCATTCAAGGCAGCTGACATTGAGCTAGAGATCACTATAATCAGCCATATATTAAATATTTCATTAAAATATTTGAAAGAGGATGACTATATATTTTTACTATTTATATATTCATCTAAATGACTCCAAATAACAAAACTAATCATGACTTTTATTACTTTTAAGGAATTGTTGATGATGCAAGGGTTTGTGAAAAAAACTTCTGAGATGTCACTCTTTCATTGCAAGGACAGTACAGATGACAAAACATTCACCTCCATCAACCTAATGTTTGTCTATCTCCCTCCTTCACAAATATCTCCAATAATTTAATGTAATAGAAAAATAGAGGCCTTCCCAATAAAGATAAATCCTGTTACCACTATAAGATGATGTCCTTTCACTCTCATCCTTCAAAGTTACTCTCGGAGCACATTTCTTTACATTAGCTGATAAAACCATTTACCAAAGTCACTAACTTTGTGGTTGCTGTTTACTCTGATCTAACTTAATAGTTAGCTATAAGTTTCAGGGATTATAGGAATTTGAAAAATGGAAAAGTACAATTCTATAAACAAAGGTGATTGCATTCAAAGATGAAAAATCAAGAAGAAAAATGTGTTTGATATTTGTATACATATTATGTCATAAAAGCCTTAAAATTTTAGAAAGCAGGCATCACTCCTACTTTTCAAATAAAAACCTAAATACAAAGAACTTAAGTGTCCACAAATAGATATTTTCTAAGTCCAATGGTTTCATCTCTCTCAGTTCTCCCACTGTGTTAAAGGAGAAACAAAATTAAGATGGGAGCACGAAAACAGAAATTATTTTCCAATAAGGCAACTATCCATTGTTTTTTCCAAAAATAGTCTACTTTTCTTTAAGAAGAAAATGAAATTCCCTTTAGTTATATACTTGAGCTGCACTAAAATAACTTATTTTCATAAATTTACGATGAATTGTCCTATTTTTCATTCATAAATAAAAGCCAGACACAAAGGATGAAGACTTAAACAGTAGTTTTCAATCTTCCTAATGCAGCAACCCTTTAATATAGTTCCTCATTTTGTAGTGAACCCACAACTATAAAATATTGTTGCTGCTTCATAACTTTAATTTTGCTACTGTAACAAAGCATAATGTAAATATCTAATATATAGGATATTTGATATGTGATCTCCATAGTGGTCATGAATCACAAGTTGAAAACCAATTGCTTCAAACCATTTATTTGAAGCATTAGATATCAGCATTAAAAGTCCTGAATTTATCTTGTTTGAATGTAATTTAGTCATTTATACTGCTATATGAATTTTAGGCATTCATTCCAAAAATGAAATGAAAGAAAAACATTGTCAGGGTAAATTACAAATTAGTAAACATGAGCTGTCATAGTTGAGCATTAATTTAACATCAACTAAAGGTCTTTATTGGCTGTATTCATTGGTGGACATCTTGATAAATTTGGTGAATAGCTAGAATATTTTACATCTAGTGTATGCACATAATAGTTAATTTCAATCTTTAACAACCTGGAGTGCTAAGTCTGTCCAGCCTTGAAAATACATATAATCTAAAACCACTCCCTTTTATTATTTTCCTTCCATGGTCAAATTTCTCAGACAGTTTCCTTAAGCATAGCTTTTTAAATTGTTTTTTCATTGATTGAACTATTGAGATCTGATCCTAGGGGCCTCACTCATGCAAGTGACTTTCCAATGATCTATATCCCTATGGCAACATACTCTTTCTGAGCAACCTCTTTCTACATAAACCTCTTCACCATTTAGTTCCTCTTGCCCAGGAAATTTCACTTTCAGAGTTTGCCAGTGATTTTTTTTGTTAGTAAGTGTACATTATCAAGGATTTAGGATTTTAGACTTAACATTCTTTCCCTTATAATATATGATTTTGATCTTTGTCTTTCAGATAAGACTATATAACATACCCAGTTGGTTCTACAGTGCAATAAAAATTTTCTAATGTTTAGACAATTCATACTTTTGAAGCCCAGTCAAGTGAAAATGAGAACAGAAACTACCTGTTTCAGCTTTTTGGTCAACCTAGATGTTATTATCCATTGTTTAAATTATTCTTTTTAAAAATTTCATTGTTTTTATTCATTCAGCCTGAATATGATGAAATGCAAGCCATATATCAATCTAAATATCTACTTCTCTAGCTGTACAATACTGTGAAATATTGTGATATTAAATGATGTCGGAGAAGAAAATAGTATTAGTTTGATGCAAATTCTTGGTCCCTAATCTCAATTTGATTTCAATGTTACCTAGTAACATTTCTTCCTTCCTCTCCTTATACAATCTATTTTAAGCCTCCTCTACTTGCTTGTTATCACAACCCATCTGTTTTTTCATTTAACTTATTCACCTCATACTGTGTAGTTCTCGTAAAAGAACCCCTCAAATTTTCTGTCATGTCACCTGAATCATACTTGCTCATCAATTTCCTCATCCTTACCTCTTTTCTGCAGGATGCAATGGAAGAAATGACCCACCTCTGGTATAAAGAGTTGTTAATGCACATATTCTCTTAATCTTGATATCTCAGAGTTATCACTTGAGAATTGCCACTTGAGATGTTTCCAGCTTACTCCAAGTGCTCTCTTTTGATCATTTGATCACTTTGTTTATGTTTCCAGTCTTTTATCTTTATCCTTGCCCTCTCTAATACTTCTTCCAACTGTAATGGAAAATGCTGTTTTATGTTAAAAAAAATAAATAAAATGGCTTCCTTTGATTTGCACCAGCAAACAGCCAAATTTGTTTAAAGTGGTCTTTTTTTAATTCTCATTTCACTGTACATCAGTCCAAGTAACTCTTAAATTTTCTATAATTTTATTTGCATCTCATTGATTCTTGAAGTTACTAAAGTCAAAGATGGCTATATGGTTAATATATTCAATGCGCATACTTATCTCCATTACTTTCTGAAATACCCCTTTTCATTTCTTTGATTCCTATGGCATTACCATGTGTTTTCTCCTATCTCTATTTCTTGATTCTTCTGTCTTTGTTTTTTTTATTTTGTTTTTGGTTGGAGGGGCTCAATTTCATTGCTCATCCATAGTATTTTTCCTTAGCTCTCAAGAGCTCTCATTTTACACTTTATTCTGCATGTAATTTCATTCTTATATGCTAAAGCATTATAATTTCATCTCCAAACCAGATCCTTTCTAAATAAATAAATCTCATTTCAACATCCCCTAAGCTATTTCATTCGATACATTCCATGGGACTCAGTCAACAAATCTGAATTTCCAAAGTCAAATTGCTAAAATAAACTGTTTCTCTCTTTTGTTTCTAATTACAGTAAATGACAACACTGTGAACCTTAAAATTTTAACTCAGAATAGTACTTGTTATGCTTCAAATTATCTTTTGCTTTCATATTTAAAATATTTCATATTTAAGATATTTCTTTATTCATCTCACGCAGGTTATGCCCATAAGTTTTATGTTAGGAATCTCTCCATGGTTTTACTTTTCTGAGCTCTCATCACAACTTATTCATAGCTCTGTTTCATTTAGTAATCTATCCTTTCCATAAGACTGTAAGTAAAGTGATTCTCAACTTATCGTGGGTAATGGCCAGATAAAACCCTTGGAAGTTGAAAATGTCATAAACTGGAAATATACATAATACACCTTCCCTATCAGACACCATAGTTTAGCATAGTTCACATTGCTAACAATAATGTCTTAGCATTTCCAGAGAGTACAGACTATATAGTAGTAGTCAAAGAAAAGATCCAAG